CACAGACGGGTTCAGAAGCTCAGTACTACTCAACGGCTCTGAATCCAGGCCTGCGCCACCGCCCACTTGGATTATATTGGCTCGAGACCTGCATGTTATTGTGGGGTGGTAGGCTGTGGGGTGTGAAGGTGGGGTGTGCAGGCTGTGGTGGGCTGGGTGAGGCTGTGGTGGGTGGGGTAGGTTGTGGTGGGTGGGGTAGGTTGTGGTGGGTGGGTGCAGGTTGTGGTGGGGTGGGGTAGGTTGTGGTGGGGTGGTGTAGGTTGTGGTGAGGTGTAGGTTGTGAGGTGGTGTGGGTTGCGATGGTGAGATGTAGGTTTTAAGTTGTAGGTTATATGAGCAAGTTGTGATTTGTGGATGTTGATTGTGAATTACGACCCCGCAAAATCCATCACAACCACAACCCCACTATAACCCACCACAACCCACCACAACCCCACCACAACCTCTCATAACCCACTCTGACCAACAATAACCCGCCACAACCCACCACAGGAAGGAAACCCGTGAATAAAAGTGAGAGGGGTCTTTAATCTGCTTAAGTGGGGGTGAGAGGGAAGGAGAGGAAGACTAATGTCAAGTCTTAAGGGTGTGTTGCACCTGTCTTCCCGCCGTGCTGGTAGTCCGGACAATAACCTTCACCGGACAATAAATATCACTGGACAATATATATCACTGGACAATATATATCACTGGACAATAAGCTCCATCGGACAATAAATTTCACTGGACAATAAATTTCATCGGACAATATAAATATATCACTGGACAATAAGCTCCATCGGACAATAAATTTCACTGGACAATAAATTTCATCGGACAATATAAATATATCACTGGACAATAAGCTCCATCGGACAATATCACTGGACAGTAAGCTTCATCGGACAATATATGTATCACTGGACAATAAATTTCACCGGGCAATTTTTACAGCTTAATGGACCTTCCTGGACAGAATACATCACCATAGGGGTTTATTGTCCGTCAAGAGGTTTAATATTTCGAAAGGTTTAATTAGCGTTTGGGGTTAGGCAGTGGTTTAATAACATATCATCAGGAGGCAATAAAGGGAAGGTTTACGTATTTATGTCTCTCTCTCTCTCTCTCTCTCTCTCTCTCTCTCACTCAATGGTCGATATGGGTAATCTAGTACAGGTAATGACATAGATTATTTACACTGCACTGCTTCCCTATGTCTGTGTAGCCAAGATGTAGCCAAGTTCTCTTCCTCTTAATGCTTCTGTAGCTGTTCTCCCCTGTCTCGCCAGCCTGACCCTCTCTCTCTCCAACCTCCTTAATGGCATGACTTATTCTTTTTTTATGTGGCTCCTCCCAAATTTCTTTTTATCCTCATTCCCTTTGTTCATTCTCCCATTTATCTTCCCGTGCTTTTTGCTTCTTGGTGGACAGTGCTATTTATATTCACTATGCATTTTTTTTATTTTTTATTTTTATTTTTTTGTAATTCCCTCGTCTGGTATTGGGTTCACGCTTGAAATTGCAAGGTTTTTGATTAAACGGATCTCTCTCTGTCGTGTGTGTGTGTGTGTGTGTGTGTGTGTGTGTGTGTGTGTGTGTGTCTGTCTCCATGATGTCTGCAAGTTCTTCGAAACATTTCTTGGAAGCATCGCGTTGCCTGGTTTACCTCCCCACCCCCTATCTTCCCAACCTCAATTAACCTACCTCACCAACTTACTCCCCACCAACCTACCCCCACCCAACCCCCCCCCCAACCCCTATCTCCTGTCTCCTGATTGGACGGGATGAGACAGCTTGATGACACCCTGTTATTCCTCGTCAGACGGGGGGGATCTATGTGCCGCTGTCAGATACCGCTGGTCTCTGCGTCACCTAACAGATTCTGGGGCTCTGGGTGTGTGTTTCTGTGTCTGTCTGTCTGTCTGTCTGTCTGTCTGTCCTTTCTTTTTTCGTGAGTTAGTGAGAGGGACGGTCACAATTCTCCAGAAAGAGAGAGATAGACAGAGAGAAAGAGAAACATACAGACAAACAGACAGAGATAAAGTAACATAGACAGGCGGGCAGATATATAAAATAGTATAGTTTATTTTGATATCTATAAGTGTGGATAGTTTTTGGATAGGTTATTTATTTTATGCCTTTTAATGACTATAGAAGTGGGTAAATAGATCTACCCATTGATATCTTTCGTCTGTCAGTCACAAGTGTGGCTTCCCATCGAGAATTAAAGCCTGAATTAACGGAGGAAACTTGGAGAACAGGTTTATATTATGGATTTCTTACCTGCGTTGGCTAATTAGCATTTTACCTGGGTGGTTGTCATAGTTACGACTCCTGTCCTGCGTAAAAATAACTGTAGCTGTTGTAGAAGGTTTTAACAATGACTACATAGATGGTTGTGATTATGTTGTTAATGATCATCGTAGTTAGGTGTTTAATGAGGTGTGCTACTGAAGTCTGTGTTATGAGAACATCACACTGACACTCTTCATTGACACTGTATACTGACGCTCTTCACTGA